TTGACCAACATACACTGAGACTGATAATTCTGTGATCAGCTAAAATCATCTGATTATGTTGAGAAATCAATCTCTCCTCAGTCAGAAACATTTCTGCTTTGCTTTTCAGTAATGACATTTTTATACTAGTCTGAGTGACAGCGATTGTACGAGTACGTCACATTTTACATGTCATTTGATAAGACCTAACTGCTGTCTTTTTTCAGGCTGGTGAGACGTGTGGACAGGATGGAGCACTCTATCGGCAGCATAGTGTCCAAGATAGATGCTGTGATTGTGAAGCTAGAAGCCATGGAGAGGGCGAAACTTAAAAGAAGAGATGTGCTGGGCCGACTGCTGGACGGAGTCATGGAGGTGAGACGCAGCGGATACACAGTCAGATACCTGCAGTTAAACGAGCAGTGTGTAGGATTCAGCTTTAACAGAAATAGAATACAGAATTCCATTTCATTTGTTTGTAATTAACTGCTTCATTGCACAGAGTACAATAAAATGCAGTCTTTTTGCATCAGAGTGCAGGGTCATCTGTGTCACTGCTTGAGCAGAGACGGTTAACGGCCCAACAGTGGTAGCTTGGCAGTGCTGGGTTTTAAACCTCTGTAGCCCAAAGACCTAACTGCTGATCCACTATGACCAAGAACTTATACAAGCTGCGAAAACCCAGGATTCAACCAGGAAAGCATCTCTTGTCAATATTTTTTAATAATCAATAGATCACATAGTCGGGATGAATCCAGAGACAGTTATCACCTGCAGTTCTTCTCACTTCTCTGGAGCTTTACAACATCTTTCATCTTACAGTTCTGGTTTTCAGGTTTACCTTTTAAGATTGTGGCTCATGCACTGCTCATATAGCGCTGCATTTAAAAAACCCACTGAGACACAGTTAGCAACTAGCTGGTGAACAAAGTGAAATGTGTTGGAATTTTAAAAAAAGCATTTCGTTTATGCTGTCCATCAAGCATCCACAAATACAGCTCTAAATATCAGCTTTATGAAGTGAATATATCAGTGTTATGTTCGAAGATCTTTGCTGCCTACAAGTGGCCCAAAAAGTCAGTTATTAGACTTGCTTGTCACGTGTCTGTCTCCTCCTCTTCCACTATCTGCTGGTAAACATTTTCAACATCTCCTTCAGTGTGGGAAACAACCTCAACAGCCTTCAAGCAGCAGCCTTCATGTTGAAAATGGCAAAGTCTGGATTGTGCATAAGGCAGCCTTGCTTGTTTTTTCAGCCAATTAGCTGTTTTGATTATAGTTCCAATATTCATGTGTGCAAATGTTTCACCAAAACATTCTTTCTCTCCCTGTTTTGCATCCTGGGCTTAACCCCGCCTGAGATGATTGAGAAGGTTTAAAGAAATACAAACAAGCCAGAGCTTTTTGTCCACTATAGCAGAATGATACCGAGGTGCAACCAGGCTATTCTCTGGTGCTGAAATGTGTGTGGAGATCGGCCTGGCTGTGAGAGACTAATGCTGAAGTAATGCTTTCTGCAATGAAGTTTCTTAAACATGAAACCTGTTATCGAGGAAGAAGATTTGACAGGAAAAGTATTTCAGTGACAGCACAGTGATAGGATAAGATGACATCTTTACTCTTAGCAGTACACAACTCTATGTAGCACTAAGAAATTATAGAAAGTATAGATGCACTTGTGCCATCAGACCTTTTACACACACACACACACACACACACCCACACACACACGCCCAAGAAATTTAAAATGCTCATATAACTAGAGAGCCCTCAGCAGAGGGACATAGTTGCCCAATGCATGTATGTTTACCTGATTCTGTGTTTTATTGTGCACCTACTTAAGGATGAACTTGTCTTGATTTTGCCTTGAAATGATACAGCATGTAAAAGTAATTGCACAGACATGAAACACCCATTTTGCATACGGTACAAAATGTATTATACATGAACTTCTATGTCTTCAGTTAATTATTTCCACGGTTTAGTATTACACAGTTGGCCACATTGACCTAGAGCAGTGACGTTTCAAGAGAATCTCCAACAAGAGCTTTGTCTATCATGTAACACAGATATTTTGCATGAAAGGGAAGTGTTTTTGCTGTAATTTACGCCTACAGATTTATGACCTTGAGTTTGACCTTGACCTTTCATCCAAGGTCAGTCACCATATCATCACCATCATATCACCAATATGGGTTCCTATCTGATTGTATTTTTTAAACTATGTATTTATCTGACACATTTTCCGGGTTACAATGGATTTAAAATTTGTGGTGATTCAGTGTGACCTTGACCTTTGTCTCAAGGTCATACGTTACCAGTTTATAGGCCTTGAATGTCTTCCTAAGTTAGTATACTAAACTTATGTCTTTTTGCGCATTTTCAGTCATACAGAGCTGTTGATGGGAAATGTATGCATTGACCCCAAAATCGAATCACTCCGATAAGGGACCATACCGAGGTCATATATGAAGTTTCAGGTTCAAACTCCTCTCCTGTAAAGTGCTAGACTGTTAACAGACAACAACAAAAAAAAAACCCCACACACAAAAACAAACACTAGGGCATGATTACTCTATAGTTGCCCATCGATGGGCAACTGTAACAATAATAAAAACACACCACCTGACAGTAATCAGGTTATTTCAGTGTGTGTTGTCAATTTTCCTGTGTCGCCTGCTTCCCCGTGTGCATGTAAACATTGTGTACTGCTTAATCTGTTTGTGTTCAGGATGAGCGTCTGGGACGGGACACGGACGCTCACAGGGAGCAGACGGACAGACTGGTGAGAGAGGAGCTGGAGCGCTGGGAGTCCGATGACATGGTCTCACAGGTGAGCCACCCACAGCCGGCCACTCCCGTCGGCCCCCGGCCTCGGCCGTCCTCCTCTCTGTCCACCGACGGCCTCGACGCCAGCACAAATGGAAGCAGCCACGTGTGAAGCCGTGGCCCGCTGAAGAATATTCCACTCTATTGGAAACCTCCCTGAAGCAGAACAAGTAACTGAAGATGTTGGACAATTTTTGCAGCACAAAACACTACACCTTATTGAAGGAAGGACAAAGTCACATGTACCTCACCTCAAATACTAATGCACTGACAGTGAGTGAGGTTCTCACCCCGAAGTGTTATTAAATCTATCTAGAAAAAAGTATTACTTTGATAGATGATGAAACAATAAATACATGAGATGCTGAAGAATCATGAAGGATTTGCAGTACAGCGTTCCACCACAGTATTAGACACGTGTACCAGCCTGCAAGCTTATTCACCACCACAATCCAGTGTATGATTTTAATATTACATGACAAATATCCTCACCTGCTTTTGATCACTGTATCCACACATCTAAGCATTTACACAAGTACTCAAAGGCATTTCTATGAATGTTAATTTTGCTGATTATTTTTTCACCATTTTAATATACAATAGGTACAAGCGTGGCACACTCTGTCATATTTACTCGTCTTCTGTACAATTAAGCTTCAGATTAATTAGCTTATCAGTTTATGATACATATTGTAACTTGAAACAAACTTCGATTTGGAGTGCATCTAGTGTTCATGGGAAACCCATGCATTTATTATTTTTTTCTGTGCCTTACTTATTTTTACAATCTATTCTTTTTGTAATCTGTTTTGCCAAATAAAGTGTTATTAAAATACACGTTTGTTTTATTTGTTTGGATTGCTCTGGTTTGACAAGAAAACCCATAAAATGTGAAACAAATTACAAAATTGAAATCCTTCTCAAAAATATAGAGTTGAAACCAGAAGTTTACATACACAGTATAAAAAGATACAAAACCTTTTTTCCCTCACTGTCTGACTTTAAATCAGACTTAACTTTTCCTATTGTAGGTCAGTTAGGATTCATCCATCCATTATCTATACACCGCTTAATCCTCACTAGGGT